TGAGGATTCTTTATTTCTTCATGCAGCACATCTTAAAGTACCTCAGTGACAAAGCGCTGAACACGGAACAAACACAATGGGAGTAAAATAATAATCAAGATAAAAAGCACAATAACTAGAAACATATCAAAACACATAGAAATGTCAACATGTTTTCCTCGTGTTAGCATCCAGTGCAAAGAGGAGAGTTTTCAGCAGAGATTTAAAAGGTTCAACAGACTCAGCAGCACTTCAGGATCCTGGAGCTTCCTGTCTGAAGCCCCGCCACAATAAGACTCACCTCCCTGCAGTCACTTCCTGTTTCACAATAAGAGAGAGATGAGATGAAGTGCTGTGTGATGTGTTCAGGCTCCAGCTGTATGATGTGTGATGTGTTCAGGCTCCAGCTGTATGTTGTGTGATGTGTTCAGGCTCCAGCTGTATGATGTGTGATGTGTTCAGGCTCCAGCTGTATGATGTGTGATGTGTTCAGGCTCCAGCTGTATGATGAGTGGTGTGTTCAGGCTCCAGCTGTATGTTGTGTGATGTGTTCAGGCTCCAGCTGTATGATGTGTGATGTGTTCAGGCTCCAGCTATATGATGTGTGATGTGTTCAGGCTCCAGCTGTATGATGAGTGATGTGTTCAGGCTCCAGCTGTATGATGTGTGATGTGTTCAGGCTCCAGCTGTATGTTGTGTGATGTGTTCAGGCTCCAGCTGTATGATGTGTGATGTGTTCAGGCTCCAGCTGTATGATGTGTGATGTGTTCAGGCTCCAGCTGTATGATGTGTGATGTGTTCAGGCTCCAGATGAAGTGATGTGTGGTGTGTTCAGGCTCCAGCTGTATGATGTGTTCAGGCTCCAGCTGTATGATGTGTGGTGTGTTCAGGCTCCAGCTGTATGATGAGTGGTGTGTTCAGGCTCCAGCTGTATGATGAGTGGTGTGTTCAGGCTCCAGCTGTATGATGAGTGGTGTGTTCAGGCTCCAGCTGTGTGATGTGTTCAGGCTCCAGCTGTATGATGTGTGATGTGTTCAGGCTCCAGCTGTATGATGAGTGATGTGTTCAGGCTCCAGCTGTATGATGTGTGATGTGTTCAGGCTCCAGCTGTATGATGTGTGGTGTGTTCAGGCTCCAGCTGTATGATGAGTGGTGTGTTCAGGCTCCAGCTGTGTGATGTGTTCAGGCTCCAGCTGTATGATGTGTGATGTGTTCAGGCTCCAGCTGTATGATGTGTGGTGTGTTCAGGCTCCAGCTGTATGATGAGTGGTGTGTTCAGGCTCCAGCTGTGTGATGTGTTCAGGCTCCAGCTGTATGATGTGTGATGTGTTCAGGCTCCAGCTGTGTGATGTGTTCAGGCTCCAGCTGTATGATGTGTGATGTGTTCAGGCTCAAGCTGTATGATGTGTGGTGTGTTCAGGCTCCAGATGAAGTGATGTGTTCAGGCTCCAGCTGTATGATGAGTGGTGTGTTCAGGCTCCAGCTGTATGATGAGTGGTGTGTTCAGGCTCCAGCTGTATGATGAGTGGTGTGTTCAGGCTCCAGCTGTATGATGTGTGATGTGTTCAGGCTCCAGCTGTATGATGAGTGATGTGTTCAGGCTCCAGCTGTATGATGTGTGATGTGTTCAGGCTCCAGCTGTATGATGTGTGATGTGTTCAGGCTCCAGCTGTATGATGAGTGATGTGTTCAGGCTCCAGCTGTATGATGAGTGATGTGTTCAGGCTCCAGCTGTATGATGTGTGATGTGTTCAGGCTCCAGCTGTATGATGAGTGATGTGTTCAGGCTCCAGCTGTATGATGTGTGGTGTGTTCAGGCTCCAGCTGTATGATGAGTGATGTGTTCAGGCTCCAGCTGTATGATGAGTGATGTGTTCAGGCTCCAGCTGTATGATGTGTGATGTGTTCAGGCTCCAGCTGTATGATGTGTTCAGGCTCCAGCTGTATGATGAGTGATGTGTTCAGGCTCCAGCTGTATGATGTGTGGTGTGTTCAGGCTCCAGGGAGCAGGAGCCCAGCTGTGGGCGGCCCCTGGGGATCCGCGCGGGTCCAAACGGGACGCTGTTCGTCGCCGATGCCTACCTGGGGGTGTTCGAGGTCAACCCCTCCACAGGTCAGAGGTCACACAGAGACACTTACCTACTCCTGCATCAGATATTTAGTGATCTCAATTAGCAGCAAGTAAACAAGGCCTTGATCACAGTGTGTATACATGGACCCTCTCCCTGTAGCCCTCCTCCTCACTGATGGACCCTCTCCCTGTAGCCCTCCTCCTCACTGATGGACCCTCTCCCTGTAGCCCTCCTCCTCACTGATGGACCCTCTCCCTGTAGCCCTCCTCCTCACTGATGGACCCTCTCCCTGTAGCCCTCCTCCTCACTGATGGACCCTCTCCCTGTAGCCCTCCTCCTCACTGATGGACCCTCTCCCTGTAGCCCTCCTCCTCACTGATGGACCCTCTCCCTGTAGCCCTCCTCCTCACTGATGGACCCTCTCCCTGTAGCCCTCCTCCTCACTGATGGACCCTCTCCCTGTAGCCCTCCTCCTCACTGATGGACCCTCTCCCTGTAGCCCTCCTCCTCACTGATGGACCCTCTCCCTGTAGCCCTCCTCCTCACTGCTGGACCCTCTCCCTGTAGCCCTCCTCCTCACTGATGGACCCTCTCCCTGTAGCCCTCCTCCTCACTGATGGACCCTCTCCCTGTAGCCCTCCTCCTCACTGCTGGACCCTCTCCCTGTAGCCCTCCTCCTCACTGCTGCTCGTCCTCTGTTCCTCAGGAGAGTCCACTCGTCTGGTGTCGGGCGGTCAGCTGGTGGCCGGCAGGAAGCTGTCCTTCATTAATGACATCACAGTGACGCGAGACGGCAGGAAGCTGTTCTTCACCGACTCGAGCAGCAGGTGGCAGCGCAGAGACTACCTGCAGCTGCTGATGGAGGCCACGGCTGACGGGAGGTGGGTTCTACTGTGGTTCTACTGTGGTTCTACTGTGGTTCTACTGTGGTTCTACTGGGGTTCTACCTCCATCAGCAGCGCAGAGACTACCTGCAGCTGCTGATGGAGGCCACGGCTGACGGGAGGTGGGTTCTACTGTGGTTCTATCTCTGGCTCTACCTCGGGTTCTATCTCTGTTTCACAATAAGAGCCTCTGTTGCTTTGCCACTTCCTGCCGGTGTCTCACAATAAGAGCCCGTTCTGTGTTCTCAGGGTTCTGGAGCTGGACCTGGAGACCCGGGAGCTGACGGTGGTGATGGAGAACCTCCGGTTCCCCAACGGGATCCAGCTGCTCCCTGACGAGGAGTCTGTGCTGGTGGCCGAGACCACCATGGCCCGGATCCGCAGGTAACTCACCTGTAATCACTGACCTTTATATCTTCTCCTTTAGAATAGCAGGAAATTAGTATTCAAATTTTGATTTAATTTTTGGTCCCCCCCCCCCAATGTTGACTCCATGGTTACGGCCTTGGGACCCTCTATGAAACGTCAAGCTACACCACAGCACCCCCAAAAGAAAGTATCTGGCGCCGCCACTGGTTTATGGAAGCGACCTGTAATTGATTAGTCTGTCAAGTTATGTTCGTCAAATCTTATGTAAATACGTTTGTAACACCGGACACATGAACGTTTCGGCTTTTTGTTCACCCCCCCCCCCCCCCCCCCCCCAAAAGAAATCTCACTCCAAGCTGAACTCAAAGGTTGGCAGCCCTGTCTAACGTGCACGCTCCTCTAACGTGCACGCTCCTCTGTGTTATAGCGTGCGCTCTCCTCTAACGCTCCTCTCCCCTAACGTGCGCGCTCCTCTAACGTGCGCTCTCCTCCCACAGAGTGCACGTGGCGGGTCTGAACAAAGGGGGGATGGACACGTTCGTGGAGAACCTCCCTGGGTTCCCTGATAACATCCGGCCCAGCTCCGGGGGGGGGTACTGGGTGGCCATGTCATCGGTGCGGCCGAACCCCGGGTTCTCCGTCATGGACTTCCTGTCCCAGAGGCCCTGGATCAAGAAGTTCATCTTCAAGGTCCGCTCTCATTCTCAACATGTTTGTTTATTCTCCATTTGTTTACCTTTTTTCAGATTTGGAACCCAAAATATTTAGTTTTTTTATATATTCTTTTTATATTTAAATTGTGTTCATATTTAGTTTCATTTTTCAAATATATATTTTTTTTACATTTTGTTTAGTTTAAAGTGGACCTATCATGCTATATTATAATAATATAGTGTAGGGCCATACCTATATAAGGCATATTTATACTTTTTATTTTCAAAATACCAAACATCATGCATTTTAGCCATGCCTCATTTCACTCAATTTGACATTTTTTAGCTCTGTTTCTGCAAGGGCTGATTCTGTGAGAACAGCACCACCTACAGGCCTGGCATATGTACTACAGCGTCTCCAGCGCTTTCAAACGGCAATGGCCGTGGCTGTCTCCTCCTGATTGGTGGAGTTGGCCCAATAGCCGTAGCGCCACCGTCCTGACGTCAGGACAGTGTTCAAATCTGGATCAGTTTTTATCAGATCCGTTGCAGCCCCTTTTTTAGAGATTTGGGTATGGAGGAAAATAGAGAGGGTTGTGTTTTCTGACACTTGGTGAGTTCCCTGGAACACCGGGGACACATATTCATGTAGAAAAGACGTACAAAAGTGCATTTTGCATGATAGGTCCCCTTTAAGTTTTACATATTTAGTTTTTGGATTTTATATGTTTAATTTTAGTCTGAATATAATTTGTTTATTTAGTTTAATAACTTTACTCATGTTGTTGTTTACAGAGAAAGTAGTCCCAGCTGTTTCTCCCAGTGTTGTTGTTTACAGTGTGTTGTTGTTTACAGTATGTTGTCTCCCCTCAGCTCTTCAGCCCTGAGGTCCTGATGAAGTTCTCCCCCCCCTACAGCCTGGTGGCAGAGCTCAATGATGGAGGTGTGTGTTCTCGCAGTTTCCACGACCCTGGAGGCCTGGTGGCGGGATACATCAGTGAGGTGCACGAGCACCAGGGCTCTCTGTACCTCGGATCCTTCCGCTCAAACTACATCGCCAAGCTGGACCTCAGCAAGGTGGGTGGAGAACTCTCACTGGTCCCCGGCTTGAGCTTCAATCTCAGGATCCATGTATTTCTGATCCTCTCAAGAATGGAAGTAGTCAAAACAAGAAAAGAGAGATTTGTTGGTATTTTTCTCAAAATCTCAACATTCTGACTTTTTCTCAAAATTTCCAAAATTCTGACTTTTTCCTCAAAATTCTGACTTTTTCCTCAAAATTCTGACTTTTTCTAAAATTCTCAAAATTCTGACTTTTTCTCAAAAATATGACTTTTTCTTAAAATCTCAAAAATCTGACTTTCTGAATACTATTTTTTTTTAATAATCCCTGGTCCCCGGCTTGAGCTTCAATCTCAGGATCCATGTATCTGTGATCCTCTCCAGAATGGAAGTAGTCATCACATCCAGAGCATCAACTAGTTCCTGAACAGTGTCCTTCACATGCTGATATCCAAGAGAGGGAGTTACACAGTCACAAGATGGAGGAATAGAAAGCAGTACATCCTGTCACGTACAAAATTCTCAACATTCTGACTTTTTCTCAAAATCCTGACTTTTTCCTCAAAATATCAAAAATCCTGAATTGTTCTCAAAATCCTCAAAAATCTGACTTTTTCTCAAAAATCTGACTTTTTCTCAAAATCACAAAGTTCTGACTTTTTCTCCAAATTCTGACTTTTTCTCAAAAATCTAAAAAATATGACTTTTTCTCAAATATCAAAAAAATATGACTTTCTCAACATCTCAAAAATTCTGACTTTTTCTGAATACTTAAAAATGTTAATAATCCCTGGTCCCCAGCTTGAGCTTCAATCTCAGGATCCATGTATCTGTGATCCTCTCCAGAATGGAAGTAGTCATCACATACAGAGCATCAACTAGTTCCTGAACAGTGTCCTTCACATGCTGATATCCAAGAGAGGGAGTTACACAGTCACAAGATGGAGGAATAGAAAGCAGTATTCAATGTTTACTTCAGATTAGCTCCACGTCAGAAATGAGCATGCTTGATGTCTCTCTCCATAGAGGCTGAATCATCATGTTAATCACATAGCTATCATATGACTTTTTCTAAACTGACTTTTTCTAAAAATCTCAAAATTCTGACTTTTTCTCAAAATCAAAAAATTCCGACACTGCCGCAACATCTTGCAGGAAACAGTGTCTGAGGGGCATGTTCATTTAATAAACTATGAATGTTTTATATCCATGTAACGGGAAGAAAACTCATCTAACTGATAATTTTTTTTATTTAAAAAAAAAAAAAAAAAAAACACAATGCTAACACTGAGCCTCTGAATTAGCAACGAGCGAAAAATGCTAGCAGATTACTGCACTGAAAATCACTCACAAAACCTTATTATTTATCTTTTCACCACATCCAACACATCGATTCACATCGTGAGGTGACACAGAATCGATGGGTACCCTCATTATCACTGAATTATACGAAATGGCGACGTTATAAACAAAAACAGACATCAAAACATGTGGCGCTAGGTAGCTAAAAATGCTAAAATGTTTACCTTGGCTCTGTAGTCTCTCCAAAGTGGTCTTCAATGGCATTAAAACGATAAAAGCGCTGCTGAAGTTAATCCATAGGTTAATCCAATGTGTCTGTGTCCCTTTGAAATGATTTCTGATAATCCATAAGCATTAAAACTGCTTTTCCATTTTCAGATGTCAAAGCTAGAGATAGGTCCACTCTGAAGCAAAACTGCATGCGCAAAGCCCCCACCTTTTTGTTTCACAACGTGTGTGTGTGGGGGACTCCCCCTTCGATTCTATTGGCTCTAACGGTCAGAAAGAGGTGTCAACCATCAAAATCAAGCAAGGGGGGCCAGAGATATGGAAAATGCACCCAAATGACCCCAGAAGTGGTTTCTTTTTGCTAAACCTCTCTAAAAAGGTCAAATGTCACTTGTTTTGCATCAATCTTGATACAGGGTACTTATTATATGTTGTACTTTGGATTCCTAAAGCTTTTAGTCTACTAACCCATCATCCAAGGGTAGTTTTCACTATAAGTAAAAAATAACTTTTGGACGGACACTATAATTTACAGTTTTTTACTATGTTCAATCTGAATTTTCTTTAAAATAAAAACATCTATATTGATTCTGACTTCTCTACATCCAACTCACAGATTTATCATTACTTTGAGAAAAAAGATTATTAATTTAACCCTTTTAGAAGAGAAGATATGGCCATTTGTTCTGGGAATGTCATTTTCGAGCCTGAGACCTGAAAAACAGGCTCAGTGCTTAAGAGGTTAACCTCATAGTTTTGCTTTATCTTTATGATACAAAACCAATCCCATAGATCTCCATGGTAACTGATGCTGAACGGCTAGCCTGCTCCGGAGCAGGTTAGGTTGCAGGCTAAGAGATCAACTCAGTGAAAGCACCGCCTGCTGACCAATCAGAGCTCAGTGTGCAGAGTTTAAAGATATCAAGTCATATTACAGGATAGAGGAAATACAGAAAAACTGCCGTTGCAGGAAAGACGGCCGGCAAAAATCAACTGACTGTGTGAACGTGAACATTAATAGAATATCCCCTCCTCCCATCTTCAGAGCAATCTGACTATTATAACATTAGCGTTAAGAAAGCTTACTTAAATATCTGCCACGACATAAGTAACCGGATCAGAGTAACATTAAGTACAGTCCGCGGCACTGTGAGTGCAGACGTCGATGTGTCCCATTATCATTCATATCATATCACATCATAATGTATCATATATTTCCTTATCTGAGTCAGCTGAGCCGTATCTGGCCGTGCAACACTCTCAGTGTCACATACTGTATGCAGAAGTATTATTTTAAGCAACACATTAAGTTGACGAAACACTGGAGTCAAATGTAATTAAAGTCAGATCGTGTCTTAGACGGGGCAGTGATATCATAAACCTGTTAATGTACGCATTCAAACACTTTCTCTGTTACCAGCTGTATTCACCTTGCAGGTGCAGCTATGTGGCTTTGATCCTGGATAAAGTGTTTAAGTCATGGATGTTTAAAGTTTAACTTCTTCATATTTGACTAATATTAGAGTTCACTTTTCATTCAGGAAGTATGACGCTGCGCTGTCAGTACGCTTCTCCATGTTTGTGATTGGTCGAATGCTCCAGATACCACCCCTTTCATGTGAACGCGCACCTAACTAGATAGGACACGGCTGGCTTGAGCGATCCACTTGATAACCAGCGTCGTAGGACCGTTTAGCGAGAGCGCGTATGTTTTGGATTGGGCCAACCGGCTAACTCAAACATATCCAGGTTAGGTTGAACCGGCTTCGTCGTACAGGCCTCTGGCTCCATGTGTTTGTGATCCTCTCCAGAATGGAAGTAGTCATCACATACAGAGCATCAACTAGTTCCTGAACAGTGTCCTTCACATGCTGATATCCAAGAGAGGGAGTTACACAGTCACAAGATGGAGGAATAGAAAGCAGTATTCAATGTTTACTTCAGATTAGCTGAATGTTTCTCAAAATCTCAAAATCTGACTGTTTATCAACATTCTGACTTTTAAGAATCTTAAGAATCTCAAAATTCTGACTTTTTCTAAAATATGATTTTTTTCCCTCAAAAATATGATTTATTTTCCTCATATGTTTTTTTTCTCAAAATTCTGACTTTTTCACAAAATCTAATAAATCTGACTTTCTCAAAATCTAAAATTTAAACATTTTAATAATCACTGGTCCCCGGCTTGAGCTTCAATCTCAGGATCTCAGGGTGTCTGTAGGTTTCTCCTAAATTCACCAAAAGTTAGCTTTCTAACGTAACATAAAGTACCGCGACCGCTGTTTGCACCATGTCATCACAGGTATCGTTGGAAAGCTCCGTCTCTCCTGCACAATCTCATCGGAACCAAATATGGTCATTTCCTTTGTATAAGCAACCAATCGTGAAAGTACAAAGGGGTCTTAAACCAAAAAACGAAATCTCATTGGCTGGTGTCAATTTCTGACAACGTGATTCGTTCAGATGCGTCACGTGGTGTGCTAAAACACTTCCTGGTTAGCTTTCGCTGGAAATTTAAATCTCAAAATGGCAAAAGAACAGCGATAAAAACGTTCACAGAGAAGACGACAACAATTGTCACTTGCACGAAGCAATGTTAGACAAAAAACAAATGATCCCAAACACAGAGTCATCCAGAGAACAGCAGGGTGTAGCTAGCGCCTCACAGCAATCTTTAACCTGTTCCACTCTGAGCCTGTTTTTCAGGTCTCAGGCTCGAAAATGACATTCCCAGAACAAATGACCATATCTTCCCTTCTAAAAGGGTTAAATTAATAATCTTTTCTCAAAGTAATGATAAACCTGTGAGTTGGATGTAGAAGTGTCAGAATCAATATAAATGTTTTTTATTTTAAAGAAAATTCAGATTTTACATAGTAAAAAACTGTAAATTATAGTGTCCGTCCAAAAATTATTTTTTACAGATAGTGAAAACTACCCTTGGATGATGGGTTAGTAGACTAAAAGCTTTAGGAATCCAAAGTACAACATATAATAAGTACCCTGTATCAAGATTGATGCAAAACAAGTGAAATTTGACCTTTTTAGAGAGATTTAGCAAAAAACTGGGCCATCTGGGGTCATTTGGGTGGATTTGACCTATCTCTGGCCCCCCTTGCTCGATCTGGTTGGTTGACATACCCTTGTGACCGTTAGAGCCAATAGAATCGAAGGGGGAGGCTCCCACCCAGACACGTTGTAAAGAAAAAATGTGGTTGCTTCGCGTGTGGAAAACGAAACCAAAGTGGAGGAATGTCTCCTTCTGGAGTTTGGAAACTAAAACGCAGTTGTATTGCTTATGGATTATCAGAAATAATTTCAAAGAGGGCACAGACACATAGGATGAACCTATGGATTAACTGCAGCATCGTTTTTTTATCGTTTTAATGCCATTGAAGACCACTTTTGACCAAGGTAAGCCATATTTACGTGTTTAGCTTCTTAGCTCCACATGTGATGATGTACGCTTTCGTTTAGAGCGTCGCGAATGTTTATCACTGAGTGTTGAGGAGGGCACCGTTAGATTCAGTGTCTCCAGGACACCAAAAAAGAGTGTTTGGTTGTGCATCTAGGATAAGTAATAAGGGAGTTAGAGTGAGTTTAGTTGCCTTAGTATGTTACGTTTTTTTCGCTTGAGGCTAATTCAGAGGCTGAGTGCTAGCAATGTGGGTTTTTTTTGAAAAAAAAAATTAAAAAGATCAGTTAGCTGAGTTTCTTCCCGTTACATGGATATAACACATTCATAGTTTTATTCAATATTAAGATTCCTTAGACGTTGTTTCCTGCAAATGACGCGTTTATATCCGCCCGGTACCGGGGGGAAGGTGTGAAACAGGTTAAAGGTCGTTTTCTCAAAATGTGTTTTTTCTCATCTGAGTGAGAAATGTCCACTTCAGCAGCACGTACATACACCAAACCTTCCAGTTCTATTCCTATCCATATTCTGAAGGCTTTTACAGAAGGGTTTGTTCATATATCATTCACAGCCTGAATTATATAACATTTTATACCTAAAAACAGGGCGAAAATTGATATTTTAGAGCTGTTGACGGTATTTTCTGATTTATGGAGTGATACAAAGAGATATCCAAAATCCCTTCTGTAGAAACTTTAGATTCTAATAAGACTACAAAATGAAACAAGAATTTCGAACCTGACTTTATCCAATGTTCAGAATTGTGTTCCTGAAAGTATTAAAATATGCACATATCTAATGAGATTATGGCTCATTTGCATGGGGGGGGGGGTGCGGTGCCCCTACAAATATAATCAAATTATGTGGAAAACACTGGATAATAATAATAATAATAAATAAATAATATTTATTTATTATTATTGTGGTCGCGACCCCCACTTTGGGAACCCCTGTTCTAGGTAATCATACATCCTGTCATGTACACAGCTACAGTTGGGATACCTTTGTTATCATGTTCTCTCATGTTGTCCCACACAGGTCTAGAGAGAGGGGCCGCAGCAGGAGGAGCGTCCAGAGGGTCCTGGACGCGGGGCGGCTCGATTCCCATTTCACTTTGAGTGGCCGAGTGACCCGTTTTCAGTGAGAAGTCCGTCCTGAAGCTCCAATGGTTGAAGATATTTAATAAACAAAATCAAACACAATAACTTAGGACCAAAAGATCCACAGAAAAAATGTCAGCGCAAGATCACCCTCCGTCACCCGCCCCCCGACATGTAACAGGTGACATGAATACTCAAACCTCACCATGTGACGCCGGAAGAGCTCAACTAATACAAATAAAAGTGACGTAAACAAATAATAATAACAAACTCAGGCTCAGTAGCATTTTGGCTCCTCCCACATCAGGCTCTCAGAGGGAGCCAGAGCCAAGGACCTGAGAATCACAACTACGTATTCCTACACCCTGAAGGCAGCATCTCTGGTCCAATGGGATCTCTCCATCCTCCAGACCAGGGGACAGGAAGTGATGAAATGCTGACTCATTCCTGCAGCTGTGTGTTCGGGTTATATCTGCTTTACTTATTTACTGAGTAGTTTGTCTTTAAAGTCAGGGAACAGAGTTATAGTGTTAAAGGAACCTCTAAAGCCACTGGTACGGGTTCTACTGGTGCTCTTTAATGCTAACGAGGCGTGTTCGGCTTCTGTCCAATCAGGTGTTTCTGAGGCTGTGATGTCACTGACCTGCTGAGAACAACATGCACTAAGATGCTAACTGGTGGCTAACAGGGGGTTAGCATTGTAGCTATCAGTAGCGAGCTATGCTAATCAGTATAGCCATATTTAATCATGCTTTATTTAGTAGTTTGTTTGAAACGTTAGTGCTGCCTTTACCGTCTGATCATTTGTTGTTGTTTATTAAAGTGCATCCTCAGTTACTTATTTAATGACATCCTGCATGACCCCTGACCCCTGACCCCTGATGTTAGCATGTTAGCAGTCATGATATTTAGCATGTCGTCCTCTCTGGATGAGCTGCACATTTTCACTTTATGAGTTACTTCATGAAGGTGTGTGTGTGTGTGTGTGTGTGTGTGTGTGTGTGTGTGTGTGTGTGTGTGTGTGTGTGTGATCTGTTTGAACCTGTTCTGCAGCTTCTTTTAAATAAAAAACATTAATTTAATCAGTTTGTGTTATTAATGTGTCTCTCTGATGTGTGTCTGTGATGTGTCTGATGTGTGTCTCTGATGTGTCTGTGATGTGTGTCTGTGATGTGTCTGTGATGTGTCTGTGGTGCGTCTCTGATGTGTCTGTGATGTGTGTCTGTGATGTGTCTGTGATGTGTCTGATGTGTGTCTCTGATGTGTCTGTGATGTCTCTGATGTGTGTCTGTGATGTGTCTGTGATGCGTCTGTGATGTGTCTCTGATGTGTCTGTGGTGCGTCTCTGATGTGTGTCTCTGATGTGTCTGATGTGTCTCTGATGTGTCTGATGTGTCTGTGATGCGTCTGTGATGTGTCTCTGATGTGTGTCTGTGATGTGTCTCTGATGTGTGTCTGTGATGTGTCTGTGGTGCGTCTCTGATGTGTCTGATGTGTCTGTGATGTGTCTCTGATGTGTGTCTGTGATGTGTCTGTGATGTGTCTCTGATGTGTGTCTGTGATGTGTGTCTGTGTGTCTGTGATGTGTCTCTGATGTGTGTCTGTGATGTGTCTGTGGTGCATCTCTGATGTGTCTGATGTGTCTGTGATGTGTCTCTGATGTGTGTCTGTGATGTGTCTGTGGTGCATCTCTGATGTGTCTGTGATGTGTGTCTGTGATGTGTGTCTGATGTGTCTGATGTGTCTCTCTGATGTGTCTCTCTGTGATGTCTCTGTGTCTCTCTGATGTGTCTCTGTGATGTGTCTCTCTGATGTGTCTCTGATGTGTCTCTCTGATGTGTCTCTCTGATGTGTCTCTGATGTGTCTCTCTGATGTGTCTCTCTGATGTTCTCTCTGATGTGTCCTCTGATGTGTCCTCTCTGATGTTGTCTCTCTGATTGTCTCTGATGTTGTGTCTCTGCGATGTCTCTCTGATGTGTCTCTCTGATGTGTTAAATGTCCACAGATATTCACATTTAATCTAATAACAGAAAATATGAGAGACATTTCTGCTCTGTTGTGATTGGTCAACCGCTTCAAGATGTCCCGCCCCTTAGCAGCACTAGCCAATAGGAGCGCGAGTGCTCCATATTTACATGCACACACACTTACAGAACACACCACAGAAGAACAGGACCTCTTTAATATATCAAACTCTCCTTCGCTGCAGGACACCAAGAGTCCAGGGTAATAAAGAAGAGACGAGCAGCTGTGATACGAGAGGAGGGGCTTTATTAGACTGACAGGTGGGGGGGGAGACAGGTGAGGATGAGGACAGGTGAGAGAGGGACAGGTGAGGGTGAGGACAGATCAGGTTTGACAGTCCATCTCCAGAGTCTTGGTCTCATTCCTCCAGGGGACGACCCAGACCTCCGTGTGACACTCAAACGTCTGGAAGACACAACAGGAAGTAACATTTTCACAATAAAGGTGAGACGCTAAACGCTAACACGTGTTATTAAAGCAATAAGGAAATATTAGGCTTTCAGAAATGTGTTTTCTGGCCAGTTTGAAGAAGACATGTCGGTCCAGATCCAGGAGGTCCTTATACTCACTGTCTGCTGGAGCCCTGAACCATGAGCCAATGAGGTTGCTGTTCTAAGATCCAATGTAGAATCCCAAATACTCAGGTAAAGTACTTCAGAACTGTACTCAAGTTAAAGTACTTGAGTACAGTTACTTAGTTACTCCCCCAGAACACACCGTGGTTCCTCTCCCTGCTGTATAACCCTTGGTCCGGTCTCACTCTGGGGCTCTCAAAAGAAGTACAGGTATTTGGGCTCATCACCCTGGGGGGCTCTCACTTCTGGGGGGCTCTCACTCTGGGGGCTCTCACTCTGGGGGCTCTCACCCTGGGGCTCTCACCCTGGGGGCTCTCCCACGGGGGCTCAAATCACCCTGGGGGCTCTCACCTCTGGGGCCTCAATCTGGGGCTCTCACCCGGGGGCTCTCCCGGGGCTCTCACCCTGGGGGCTTCTCACCCTGGGGGCTCTCACCTCGGGGGGCTCTCAACCTCTGGGGGCTCTCACTCTGGGGGCTCTCACTCTGGGGGCTGCTCACTCTGGGGGCTCTCACTGCTGGGGGCTCTCACTCTGGGGGCCTCATCACTCCTGGGGGCTCTCACTCTGGGGGGCTTCTCACCATCTCTACTGGGGCTCTCAGGGGGCACTCTGGGTGCTCACTCGGGGGGCTCTCACTCTGGGGGCTCTCACTCTGGGGGCTCTCACCCTTGGGCTCTCACCCTGGAGGTCTCACTCCTGGAGGTCTCACTTCTGGGGGCTCTCACTCTGGGGGGCTCTCACTCTGGGGCTCTCACTCTGGGGCTCTCACTCTGGGGGCTCTCACTCTGGGGCTCTCACCCTGGAGGCTCTCACCCTGGAGGCTCTCACTCTGGGGCTGTTTCTCATGTCGAGTAAAGCTGCTTCAGAGCCACTATTTCAAGGATGCTACGTCATCGAGTGCCGCTGTAGTACTGTTCCAATCTCCAGCATACTTGGAAACTACCGAAGGCCCGCGTACTCCGTTTGGAGAAATATAGAGGCTGCACATGAGTAGACTTCGCGGTCTTAAAATCCCCCAAGTGCTTTGCGCACGGACCAATTTCCCCAAATCTGTGGCGGAAGATGTAAGAGGCGGGGCCTCTCATATGACGCACACCTGCACACTTGCTAGCCTGTTCCACTCTTTGTTTTCCAAATGCCAGGAAGTATTCTTGACTCGCTTCTGAAGCAAGACGCTCGGAAGACATGTGCTACCAAGCAAGCGTACTCCAGTTTGAGAAACACCCTGAGTGTCTCACCTGCTTCAGGGACCCTTCAGGCTGCAGGTCACACCTGGACAGATCCTTGTTGTGGTTCCGTTTACGGCACAGTGTTCTGGAAATCTCCAAATCCACCACGTACCGAAGCCCCTTCACCACCTGAGAGACAGACAGGACCAGAACCTCAGAGACAGACAGGACCAGAACCTGAGAGACAGACAGGACCAGAACCTCAGAGACACTGACCAGAACCTCAGAGACAGACAGGACCAGAACCTCAGAGACACTGGAACCAGAACCTCAGAGACAGACTGGTACCAGAACCTCAGAGACGACAGGACCAGAACCTCAGAGACAGACAGGACCAGAACCTCAGAGGACAAAGTCATGGACCAGACCTCAGAGACACTGGACCAGAACCTCAGAGACACTGGACCAGAACCTCAGAGACACTGGACCAGAACCTCAGAGACACTGGACCAGAACCTCAGAGACACTGCACCAGCGGATCAGAACCATAGACTGTGAAGACCACTTCAGAGACTAGGAGCCGGTTTAAAGACTAGGGGACAGGAAGTGTAGGTCATGTGACCTCGTTGCGTACCTGCCGCTGCGCTCGGAGGATAGCGGACGGTTTGAAGAGGAAGGCGTCGTTTGATTGGTCGTTGAAGCGGCCGGCGGCGGCGAGGACGACGCCCCTCAGAGAGACGTCCGTTCTGATGACATCAGTCAGAGAGCCGGGCATCGAACCGGCACCCTCTGACAGGAAGAGGAAAGTAACATTAACTCAAGTACTGAAGCAGAGAGAGTAAAAGTACACACATCCTTTACTCGAGTATAAGTACACACATCCTTTACTCGGGTAGAAGTACACACATCCTTTACTCGGGTAGAAGTACACACATCCTTTGTACACACACATCCTTAGCTCGAGCTAGAAGTACACACATCCTTTGCTCGAGTAGAAGTACACACATCCTTTGCTCGAGTAGAAGTACACACATCCTTTGCTCGAGTAGAAGTACACACATCCTTTGCTCGAGTAGAAGTACACACATCCTTTACTCAAGTAGAAGTACACACATCCTTTACTCAAGTAGAAGTACAACACATCCTGTACTCAAGTAGAACGTACACACATCTTTACTCAGGTAGAAGTACACACATCCTTTACTCAAGTAGAAGTACAACACAATCCTTTACTCAGGTAGAAGTACAACGCATCCTTTCTCAAGTAGAAGTACACACATCCTTTACTCAAGTAGAAGTACACACATCCTTTACTCAAGTAGAAGTACACACATCCTTTACTCAAGTAGAAGTACACACATCCTTTACTCAGGTAGAAGTACACGCATCCTTTACTCAAGTAGAAGTACACACATCCTTTTACTCAAGTAGAAGTACTACACATCCTTTACTCAGGTAGAAGTACACGCATCCTTTACTCAAGTAGAAGTACAACACATCCTTTACTCAGGTAGAAGTAACACATCACTGTACTCAATGGGGTAGAAGTACAACACCTCCTTTACTCAGGTAGCAAGTACAAACACTCCTTTACTCAGTAGAAGTACACCATCCTGTACTCAGTAGAAGTACACACATCCTTTACTCAAGTAGAAGTACACACAATCCTTTACTCAGGTAGAAGTACACGCATCCTTTACTCAAGTAGAAGTACACACAATTCCTTTAACTCAGGTAGAAGTACACACATCCTGTACTCAAGTAGAAGGATACAACACATCCTTTACTTCAGGTAGAAGTACCACACACTCCTGTACTCAAGTAGAAGTACAACACATCCTTTACTCAGGTAGAAGTACACACATCCTTTACTCAGGTAGAAGTACACGCATCCTTTACTCAGTAGAAGTACACACCATCCTTTACTCAGGTAGAAGTACACACATCCTTTACTCAGGTAGAAGTACACACATCCTTTACTCGAGTAGAAGTACAGATACTCGTGTTTAAAAATGCTCTGGTGAAAGTAGAAGTACTGACTAAACGTCCTCTCCTCAGGTGTTGCGACCTGGCTCTGAAGCCAAAGAGGAGACACGTTCAGAAACAGATGTTCATTTAAACAAGTAGTTCAAATGAATCAAAGTGCAAAACTAGCATGAGGTGTGGATCAGACCAGGTGTCCTGAAGTCACTGCGATCAGTGCAGCCTCTCCACTGATGATCCCACAGGGGCATCACATCAAGTGAAAGTAAAGAGGCTTTGAAATGTACTTCAGTAAAAAGTACCCATAACTAGCAGCTGCTTTAAAGAGTACCTGACCTCCCTTTATATTAATAGAACAATAATGTCATTGTTAGCTAATGAATGTTTCCATGCTGAACAACGGCAACATGACAACGTTTTCATTGGTCCCTCTTCTTTAGAGAAGACCAGAAATGATGGATACACGGATCGTGTTCAAATCAATAGGCAACGCAATGACTCTAAATAATAATGATCACGCCACCAAACAACACTTCAAACTAAAGGAACTCAGCCTGTTTGGAAATGTGAGAAGTAGAAAGTACAGGTAATTTGGGTTCAACAATTAAGAAGTAGAAAGTACAGGTATTTGGTTCAACATGTAAGAAGTAGAAAGTACAGGTATTTGTGTTCAACATGTAAGAAGTAGAAAGTACAGGTATTTGTGTTCAACATGTAGAAGTAGAAAGTACAGGTATTTGGGTTCAACATGTAAGAAGTAGAAAGTACAGGTATTTGTGTTCAACATGTGAGAAGTAGAAAGTACAGGTATTTGTGTTCAACATGTAAGAAGTAGAAAGTACAGGTATTTGGGTTCAACATGTAAGAAGTAGAAAGTACAGGTATTTGGGTTCAACATGTAAGAAGTAGAAGGACAGGTATTGTGTTCAACATGTAAGAATGTAGAAAGTACAGGTATTTGTGTTCAACATGTAAGAAGTAGAAAGTACAGGTATTTGGTTCAACATGTAAGAAGTAGAAAGTACAGGTATTTGTGTTCAACATGTAAGAAGTAGAAAGTACAGGTATTTGTGTTCAACATGTAAGAAGTAGAAAGTACAGGTATTTGGTTCAACATGTAAGAAGTAGAAAGTACAGGTATTTGGGTTCAACATGTAAGAAGTAGAAAGTACAGGTATTTGGGTTCAACATGTAAGAAGTAGAAAGTACAGGTATTTGTGTTCAACATGTAAGAAGTAGAAAGTACAGGTATTTGTGTTCAACATGTAAGAAGTAGAAAGTACAGGTATTTGGGTTTCAACATGTAAGAAGTAGAAAGTACAGGTATTTGGGTTCAACATGTAAGAAGTAGAAAGTACAGGTATTTGTGTTCAACATGTGAGAAGTAGAAAGTACAGGTATTTGTGTTCAACATGTAAGAAGTAGAAAGTACAGGTATTTGTGTTCAACATGTAAGAAGTAGAAAGTACAGGTATTTGTGTTCAACATGTGAGAAGTAGAAAGTACAGGTATTTGGTTCAACATGTAAGAAGTAGAAAGTACAGGTATTTGTGTTCAACATGTAAGAAGTAGAAAGTACAGGTATTTGGGTTCAACATGTAAGAAGTAGAAAGTACAGGTATTTGTGTTCAACATGTAAGAAGTAGAAAGTACAGGTATTGTGTTAACATGTAAGAAGTAGAAGTTCAGGTATTGTGTTCACAAATGTGAGAAGTAGAAAGTACAGGTATTTGTGTTCAACATGTAGAGTAGAAAGTCCAGGTATTTGTGTTCAACATGTAAGAAGTAGAAAGTACAGGCTATTGAGTTCCAACATGTAAGAAGTAGAAAGTTACAGGTATTTGTGTTCAACATGTAAGAAGTAGAAAGTACAGGTATTGGGTTCAACATGTAAGAAGTAGAAAGTACAGGTATTTGTGTTCAACATGTAAGAAGTAGAAAGTACAGGATTTGTGTTCAACATGTAAGAAGTAGAAAGTACAGGTATTTGGGTTCAACATGTAAGAAGTAGAAAGTACAGGTATTTGGGTTCAACATGTTAAGAAGTAGAAAGTACAGGTATTTGGGTTCTAAATGTAAGAAGTCAAATAAAAAGTCGTCAGAAAAATAAGTAGTGGAGTAAAGTACTGATACCAGAAAGATGTACTTAAGTACAGTAACCAAAGTATTTGTACTCCAATACTTCCCACCTCTGAACACAACACTGAAGCTCTACAGTTCAGAGGTACATGGTGTACTTCTACTCCACTACAGTTCAGAGGTACATGGTGTACTTCTACTCCTCTACAGTTCAGAGGTACATGGTGTACTTCTACTCCTCTACAGTTCAGAGGTACATGGTGTACTTCTACTCCTCTACAGTTCAGAGGTACATGGTGTACTTCTACTCCTCTACAGTTCAGAGGTACATGGTGTACTTCTACTCCTCTACAGTTCAGAGGTACATGGTGTACTTCTACTCCTCTACAGTTCAGAGGTACATGGTTGTACTTCTACTCCACTATAGTTCAGAGGTACATGGTGTACTTCTACTCCTCTAACAGTTTCAGAGGTACATGGTGTACTTTTCCTCCACTACAGTTCAGAGGTAACATGGTGTACTTTTCCTCCTCTACAGTTCAGAGGTACATGGTTGTACTTTTTTCCTCCACTCCATGTATTTAATACCTTTAGTTACTTCTCAGATGTGGATGAATGATGTGAAATATAATCAAGTGTTAAATCAGACTTTAGTTCCACCTGGAGTAAATCCACAAGCTACCCTGCAGTTATACAAAGTCATTCAAAACTAGCTGCACCTTTACCAGCTTTGAGAACACTTTCATGATCAATCATTATAAAACATATATATATATTATTCTGAAAACGGACCAAATCTGCACAATGACTACTGCTACCCTGCTGTACAATTATGAACCGACTAAACAGGTCCAGACGTCAGGAAGGACTTCTTTCTGATCTGAACCACCAAAGACCAGAGAGCTGCTGCTGGAGGTATTATGGGATGTATCAGCAGAGGAAGTGACATCATGGTGTTCAGTGAAGGCTAGCATTAGCATTAGCGTGGTTTAGCTCTCCAATAAGCCTCACATTTTAACATGCTGGGTTCAAAACGACACAGAAAAGCTCTGAGGAGTCCCTGAAGTCGACTGAAGAGCTCTCCTTCAACACCTGAACCCCCTGCACTGATCCAGAGGTTTCAACTCTGAGGCACAATACAGCTTTAGGCCGAAGCAAGAACGCAGTTGGACATTCAAGTGGGCTAACGCAGCAGCCTTTTTGAAGAAATGACCTCAGAGTTGTGAATGAGTGGGTGCTTCTGTTCAGCTTTAAAAGAGTTCCAGCTCTCTGCGGCAAGGGCAGCCAGGTGCTTCTGTTCAGCTTTAAAGAGTTCCAGCTCTCTGCAGCACCAGGTGCTTCTGTTCAGCTTTAAAAAGAGTTCCAGCTCTCTGCAGCACCAGGTGCTTCTGTTCAGCTTTAAAGAGTTCCAGCTCTCTGCAGCACAGGTGATTGCTTCTTTCAGCTTTAAAGAGTTCCAGCTCGTCTGCAGCACCAGGTTGCTTCTGTTCAGCTTAAAGAGTTCCAGACACTCTGAAACATGGTCAGTTTTCTCCTGATCTGGTTCTGGCTCTGGTTTCTGGACCCTCACTCAGCTTCTCTTCAAACATTAAAACTTTATAAGGAAACAGGAAGTGTTTTTACCGAGAGCAGCTAGCAGCAAGGCGAGAAGCAGCGTCTTTCACTCCCATCATGCACTCTGTTTCCTGAGGTGTGTTCCTCTCTGTTTTATGAGCACACACTTCCTCCCAGCATGCACTCTGTTTCCTCCTCTTGTATGAGCACACACTTCCTCCCAGCATGCACTCTGTTTTCCTCCTCTGTTTGTGAGCACACACCTCCTCCCAGCATGCACTCTGTTCCCTTCCTCTGTTTGTGAGCACACACTTCCTCCCAGCATGCACTGCAGCTCCAGCTGACGGTGATCAAACTGCAGCTGATTGTGAGGAAGTTGTTAACTGACAGATATCAGCATGACCCCCCCCCCCTCATTACTGACATGAACACATGTATTTGATCCTCTGCAGACCGTTGACATGCACTACACCTACAGACTACAGGAGAGAGACAGGGACTCTTTAAAGTAGATGTTGTGGATGTTAAATGAAGACTCAGTGTTTCTGGATGAAGAGAAGTTTATTAAAGAAAGCAGAGTTTATTCCTTTGTTCCCGTCAGAGACGCGCTCGCGTCGCGTCAGAGCGTCAGAGACGCGCTCGCGTCGTGTCAGAGACGTGCTCGCGTCGCGTCAGAGATGCGCTCGCGTCGCGTCAGAGCGTCAGAGACGCGCTCGCGTCGTGTCAGAGACGTGCTCGCGTCGCGTCAGAGACGCGCTCGCGTCACGTCAGAGCGTCAGAGAGCGCTCGCGTCGCGTCAGAGCGTCAGAGACGCGCTCGCGTCGCGTCAGAGACGTGCTCGCGTCAGAGCGTCAGAGACGCGCTCGCGTTGTGTCAGAGACGTGCTCGCGTCGCGTCAGAGATGCGCTCGCGTCGCGTCAGAGCGTCAGAGACGCGCTCGCGTCGTGTCAGAGACGTGCTCGCGTCGCGTCAGAGATGCGCTCGCGTCGCGTCAGAGCGTCAGAGACGCGCTCGCGTCGTGTCAGAGACGTGCTCGCGTCGCGTCAGAGACGCGCTCGCGTCACGTCAGAGCGTCAGAGACGCGCTGCGTCGCGTCAGAGCGTCAGAGACGGCTCGCGTCGCGTCAGAGACGTGCTCGCGTCGCGTCAGAGACGCGCTCGCGTCGCGTCAGAGGCGCGCTCGCGTCGCGTCAGAGGCGCGCTCGCGTCGCGTCAGAGGCGCGCTCGCGTCGCGTCAGAGGCGCTCGCACGTTTCAACGTTTAGAAACCAGAAGAAATGACGACCAAAACTTCGTTCAACGATCCAGAATTCCCCTGAAAATCATCTGTCTCACAAAATGAATAAATATAAAGTCTGTGGTGGAGACAGGAAGTGACTCAACTAAACTTCTCGTCACTCTCTCCTCCAGCTCGTCTCGGTAGATAAAGAGAGCGTTGATCTGGAGACGCTGAGGTCCATCACTGGCAGGGAGGTCCTGAACTCTGCTGGGCTCCAGAGGGAAAGCATCACCTCGGGTTAGCCACTGTTAGCAACACCCTTTATTCAGTTTGCTGTGATGAAACATGGCAGGCAGCAGATCCAGAGACAGAAGATGAGCAGGACCATCAGGTGATGAGACCCCAGAGACACAGAAGAGCTCCTCCTGCTGTCTCCTGATGGAGAGGGATCTCCATAGGACCATTTTCTTGTATTTCATGTATTTGTTGTTTGTTATGTTTGTACATGTCATTTACCTACAGTAATGTTTCACGTGAGGGACTGCGGATGGAAAATAGCTCAAAGCTAAATCCGGCACATTTATTGTTTTTAAGTGTTTCATTAATGCCCTACCAAATAAACGATTACAAATAAAAAATAAAAACAAGGAGAAACACCAAAGATCCTGTTCACCGTCCGTCTGTACGTCTCAACATGTTCTCATCGTAGATGGAAGTCTTCGAGGAGAGGCCAACATTTGAAGAAGATGTGAAAAACCTTCGTAAATGGGACAGCTTCCCCCCCCCATCTATGTATATACTCGCATTTTAGACTCTGTTACTAACTGTATATCTGTAGACTTGGTATGTCTTAAATGTCCGGTTAGGATGTATTAGAACGAAATCTAAAATGTAAATTGTAATAAGCCATCTGTCTGTAAACACCCACCTGTATGTAAATTGTAAATAAGCCATCTGTATGTCAAATATGTCTTATATGTCTTAAATGATATGATGAATTGGAAATGGGGGACCCTGATGTAAACAAGACGAAAGTCTTTCTCTGGTCTGCATCCCCTTGACAATTGTATGTTTTGAGCTGTACTGTACTGTACCCAATATACAAGCTGTTAATAAACTTTTCAATCAATCAATCAATCAAAAACTGCAGAAATGAAAAAGTCAGATATCGAACCACGTTTTTGTGGAAAAGCCAAAAAGAAGTTTTAAAAACGTCACATTTTCATATCGTGCCCAAACATCAAAGAAGTCTTAAGAAATCTCCAAGAATCACAAAAAGAAAGTTTAACTGGAAATAATTAAATTAAAAATTCTAATTAAAACAGTTTGTTCCGGACCCAGCAGCCATGGTCCCGGCTCCAGTTCCAGCCATGGTCCCGGCTCCAGTTCCAGCCATGGTCCCGGCTCCAGTTCCAGCCATGGTCCCGGCTCCAGTTCCAGCCATGGTCCCGGCTCCAGTTCCAGCCATGGTCCCGGCTCCAGTTCCAGCCATGGTCCCGGCTCCAGTTCCAGCCATGGTCCCGGCTCCAGTTCCAGCCATGGTCCCGGCTCCAGTTCCAGCCATGGTTCCGGCTTGTTGTGGCGATCCAGCACTCACACAACAGGAAAGAATGAAACTGATATAGCTGATCAGTAATTATTATTTAGTTGTTGCAACAAACAAACAACAATGGGGAGTACATCACCCTGCTGCCACAGCAGCCAATCGCAGAACTGCCCCCCCGAATACAAGAAACACAGGGCAGATATACTTTCCTAAATGACACACGAACATGTTCCCTCAACATGTTTAACCTGTTACGCACGGCCCCCCCGGTACCCGGCGGATAAACGCGTCATTTGCAGGAAACAAACGTCTAAGGAATCTTAATATTTAATAAACTATGAATGTTTTATATCCATGTAACGGGAAGAAACTCAGCTAACTGATCTTTTTAATTTTTTCTCCAAAAAACCCCACAATGCTAGCACTCAGCCTCTGAATTAGCCACGAGCGAAAAAAATGTAACCTATCACTCGCACTTAAACTCACAATAACTCCCTTATTACTTATCCTAGATGCACAGCCAACCCCTCGATTAGCAATCTCCTGGAGACACAGAATCTGGGGGTGACCCACCTCAACACTCAGTGATAAACATTTGCGACGCTATAAACGAAAGCGTACATCATAACATGTGGCGCTAGGTAGCTAGAAACGGCTAACATGGCTTACCTTGGTCAAAACTGGTCTTCAATAGCATTAAAACGATAAAACTATGCTGCAGTTAATCCATAGGTTCAATGTGTCTGTGTCCTCTTTGAAATGATTTTCTGATAATCCATAAGCAATAAAACTGCTTTTTAGTTTCCAAATGTCAGAGACTAGAGATCGGTCCACTCTGACGCAAATGTACATGCGCGCAGCCCCCACCTTTCTCTTCACAACGTGTGTGTGGGGGCCTCCCCTTCGATTCTATTGGCTCTAACGGTCAGAAAGAAGGTGTCAACCATCCAAATCGACCAAGGGGGGCTAGAGATATGGAAAAAAAAAAATGTTCACCCAAATCACCTCAGAGGTGGGGTGGTTTTGGCTAAACCTCTCTAAAAAGGTCAAATGTCCACTTGTTTTGCATCAATCTTGATACAGGGTACTTATTATATGTTGTACTTTGGATTCCTACAGCTTTTAGTCTACTAACCCATCATCCAAGGGTAGTTTTCACTATAAGTAAAAAAGAATATTTGGACGGACACTTAATTTAACAGTTTTTTACTATGTAAAATCTGAAATTTTCTTTAAAATAAAAACATCTATATTGATTTCTGAGACTTCTACATCCAACTCACAGATGTAACCTTGCTTTGATAAAAGAAATTATTCATATAACCCTTTTAGAAGTTAAGGTTTGTAGTCATTTGTTTTGGGCATGTCATTTTCGAGCCTGAACAATGAAAAACAGGCTTGGTGCTTAACAGGTTAACGCACACACATTGTCAGTTCTCCTAAACTTGGACCTTATACAGTCATACATGTTGCATCCTCTGAGTTCTACATGATCCCAGATTTCATGACCTTATTTAGCAGCTACCACACATGCCAATGTATACAACTGCTGGTGAAGAGTTCCAGCTGGTTGCCTATAGATGGGCCTCCTTCCAGCAAACCAAATGAACAACACACCGTCCACTATACTGTTGCTTAATACCATGTGGACATTAATGAATATACCAGAAATACGCTGTAATAAACATTCTGCTATAAACAGGCTCAAGTACCGGACCCAGCAGCCATGGTCCCGACTCCAGCACCTCGTCTCCTGTTGGCTCTCCGGCCGACGCCAGCTTCTCGTGTTCTGTCGGCGTACCGACCGTCTCAAGTTCCCTCTCGAGTCCCCTCTCGAGTCCCCTCTCGAGTCCCCTCTCGAGTCTCCTCTCGAGTCTCCTCTCGAGTTCCCTCTCGAGTTCCCTCTCGAGTTCCCTCTCGAGTTCCCTCTCGAGTCTCCTCTCGAGTCTCCTCTCGAGTTCCCTCTCGAGTTCCCTCTCGAGTTCCCTCTCGAGTCTCCTCTCGAGTCTCCTCTCGAGTTCCCTCTCGAGTCTCCTCTCGAGTCTCCTCTCGTGTTCCCTCTCGAGTCTCTTCTCGAGTCCCCTTTCAAGTCATCTCTCAAGTCTCCTCTCGAGTCTCCTCTCGTGTTCCCTCTCGAGTTCCTTCTCAAGTCCCTACTCTATGTCCTGTACCGTTGGGGGTCCCGCCGACTACTGTTCTGCCGGGGGTCCTGCCAACCCTATGTCCTGTGCCGTTGGGGGTCCAGCCGACACCTGTTTCGTCGGGGGTCCTGCCAACCCCAATGTCCTGTTTCGTTGGGGGTCCCACCGACTACTGTTCTGCCGGGGGTTCTGCCAACCCTATGTCTTGTGCCGTTGGAGGACCAGTCGACACCTGTCTCGCTGGGGGTCCTGCCAACTCTATGTCCTGTCCTGTTGGGGGTCCCGCAGACTACTGTTCTGCCGGGGGTCCTGCCAACCCTATGTCCTGTGCCGTTGGAGGTCCAACCGACACCTGTTTCGTCGGGGTCCTGCCAACTCCATGTCCCTGTTTTCGTTGGGGGTTCCACCGGATTTCCTGCCAACACGTGCTACGCCGAGGGTCCTGTCGACACCAGCCCATGTTCCGTCCAGAGTCCCGTCTACGCCTCCTGAGAACACATTCAAGCCACTTCTGCTATATTTGATGAGGGATACAATTATTTGTTACCATAAGTTCTACATGAAATTGATACTGTTGGACTCAGTACAAAGTAAAAGTACTTGTGGTAGTAGTCCAAGTAGTACTGAGTCCAACAGTATCAATTTCACTAAAAACTTATGGCAAAAAATCATTTTATCCCTCATAATAATTCATGTATTCTGCTATATTTGATAAGTGTTTCGGCAAATGTTAAAGTGTTTTGAGACTTGTAAGTTTGTCTCAGTTCTTATAAAAGTGTTTTGCTAGTGTAATTTTGTTTTTATAAAATGTAAAATTGTCTCAAGCTTTGTTAAAGTGTTTCACACTTTGTAATAGAGTGGCGAAGTCCCTCCTCTTCCGGTGGACCTCCATGGGACCTTATTTCGGAAAAAGTATGTATTGAAGTCAATGGAGAGAGAAAGATTATCTTTGGATCCCGTTTGAATTGTGCCACGAATTACACATATGATGTTTGTCAATTTAAAAGATAATTTTGCAAGTCAAAAAAAAAAAAAAGTGTGGTAAAACTGTGAAGTAAACACATTTGTTTGTGTGAAACGCTCAATGAACTACATCTCTGGTCAACAACACACGTCACCAAGATGGCCGTCACTACTGTCTTGTCAACAAAAACGATTGACTACCCTCACTATCACCACAATGAAACACGTCCTGAAGAAATGTCATGCAAAGCTGCCTGCCTGCCTTCCTTTGATTCTCTCTGAACTGCCTGGTCGTTTTAATGTTTAATGTCAACCATTTGTGCAGATAGCATGAAGTAGAGAAGATCGCTAGCGTTAGCGTTAGCATTTCTCCCCCGGGCTTAAATGTGTATTATAGAATGATCACACCAGTGTGACAGTACTCTTCAAAGGGTTCACGAAATATGACTACTACTCTTACTGTTTAACATTTTGGGTTACTTAATGTTACTTCATGTTAAGGCTAATACAAATGACAAGGCTGTAATGCTAACTAACGTGCTAGCTACTAGCTAGCTTGATCAAGACACTCCTGGTCCTTTCATCAGACGGGAAGCGAAAGAACGAGCAAGACCCATTGCTGGTATGATAACAACCTGGTACTAAGCACACAGGCATCTTGTTAAAGTTATCTTATCTTAGCCAGCGCCATATAGATAGATTATATCTATATGGCGCTGATCTTAGCTATCTCTTTGTGGAGGAAAACAATTGTGACATCACTTACGCGACTCTGGGATTTGTAGTCTTTTCTAGTTGCGTATTTTTCATAGTCTTATATTTCAACAGTTAGCGACAAACATCATATGTGTAATTCATGGCACAATTCAAACGGGATCGAAAGATACGTTTTCTCTCTCCCATTGACTTCAATACATTATTTTTCCGAAATAAGGTCCCATGGGGCGGAAGTAGATGGGCGTGACTTCGCCACTCTATTGTCGTTTGCACTTCTCAGCCACCGTACTGCACAGATTGTATTCCATTCTATTTCAATGTAAAATACTGATATATGTGTTTTCTTTAAATAGTTCTCTATCTGTCTATCTGCACATCCGCTCTGCATCAGCCAAACGGCTCGCTGCACCCGCACTGCGAGGGGGACCCAAGTTCCCATCAGCAAAAACATGTGGTTTGATATCCTGGCTCCAAAATGGTGGAATGAGCTCCCCATTGACATCAGGACAGCAGAAAGCTTACACATCTTCTTCAGACTGAAGACTCATCTCTTTCGACTTTTTTCATAAATTTTGACTTTTTCTAAAATCTCAAAATTCTGACTATTTTCAGAAAAAAATACGTTATCAAAATAATTGTGTAATAAAGTATCTCTGTCTCTAACCTCCTGCAGCTTCATCCGTCCGCCAGCAGGGGGCGGTGTGCACACGTCACTCTTGTTCAGCCTTCACAAATCATTCAGTCATGACGTCACACCCTCCGGACGGCAGGGGGCTCCACCCTCCGTACACCCTCCGGACGGCAGGGGGCTCCACCCTCCGTACACCCTCCGGACGGCAGGGGGCTCCACCCACCGTACAGCAGGGGGCACCACCCTCCGTACAGCCTCCGTACAGCAGGGGGATCCACCCGCTCTCTTTCCCCGCAGAAGAAGAAGAATCCTCCCTTCACAGATGCACCAGCAGCCGGAGCTCCGGACTCTTTTTCTCCAGTTTTGGTCCTCCAGCCTCCGGGAGGAAGAGAAAGCTTTGGCCGCAGAGAGACGTCTGTTCCCCGGCAGGTGAGCACCGCAGCTGCCCGCTCTCTGGAGCTGTTCCCCGGGCAGGAGACCCGAGGCCTCCCAGGAAACAGCTCCAGAGAGCGGGGGAGGAAACCGAGAGGAGCCGCGGCAAAAACACGGTGTTTACCGACAAGAGAAAAGTTTATAAACCATTAGAGAACAGTATACAAACCATTAGAGAACAGTATATAAACTATTAGAGAACAGTATACAAACCATTAGAGAACAGTTATATAAACCATTAGAGAACAGTATCTTAAAGGTCCCATGTCATGGCCATTTCTACTGATCATAGTTCCATAGTTGAGGTCTACTAGAATAGATGTACATTGTTCAATGTTCCAAACTCACATTGGTTTCTCATACAGCATCTCTGTATAGTATGTGTATTCACTATCTGTCCTACACGGCTTGTTGGAGCTCCTGCCCCCCCCTCCCTGTGAGCCCACTGTGCTCTGATTGGTCAGCTCGCCCACTCTGTTTTGATGAGTCCACCACCGTTACAGCGGAACATCAGTGATTATGTTTTACAATGGCGTTTGTTAGCAACCAGGAAATGACACCAGTAATGAAAAACAGATGAGAATGCTGCGTGGGGGTCTGGGTGCCGTGTTGGACGCTGGGGGGCTCGCTGCTCCGCCCTTTGAGGCTCGAGGAGCCGACAGTGTGAGCTGGGTTACTGGGGTCGTTTCCTGGTTGCCGCGAGACAGCGAGACACAGCGAAACCCAGCTGTAGGCAGTGGTGTAGTGGGCGTTGGACGCGGGGGGTACCCGTTGACAGTTCACAAGCGCCCCGTCCACCCAGTAAAAAAATCCCACTACACCACTGGCTGTAGGTATGAGTTATCAGACCCCAGCTGTTGGTATGAGTTATCAGACCCCAGCTGTTGGTATGAGTATCAGACCCAGCTGTAGGTATGAGTTATCAGACCCCAGCTGTTGGTATGAGTTATCAGACCCCAGCTGTAGGTATGAGTTATTCAGACCCCAGCGTTGTATGAGTTATCAGACCCCCAGCTGTAGGTATGAGTTATCCAGGGATTGCAAACTTGTCACCTTTCAGCGAAATTCGCCGTTTTGAATCCAAAATAGGTAGTTTGTGTGATTCATGTAGATCTGCAATAAAAATATTTTTGGGGTATGGGGGGGGGTCTGGGACCCGGAGTAATCTGCGGCCGCGAGCTGTTATGTGCCATCATGGACACGCATGGTGTTCTTTTGTATATATTCTAATGCAGCGCGAGCTGTGTGCTCGAGTCTTCCTGTCGGCTCTGCTCATGGATGTAGAATAAGGCTCTGCTGCCTCCGGGATGAGGGTCTAGCTTCAGCAGCTACATTACCTACGGTGCGTTCGTTAATATTAACTGTGCGGTCCCGGAGTCACTGTGGCACAGACTGGACCGCTGGTGAACAGCTGTTAGAACGGGCCGTTCAGGTGTTCAGAGCAGAGCTCCCTGTCGGAGCGGCAGAGCGTGACGTGCACTGACAAGTGTTCCTGTCGCAATATTATCGTCGAGCTAACTAGCATACATTGTCACTATCTGCTAACGTAGCTTTAGACCTTCGTTTTCCAAATAGTGTTTTTCATAGGCTATAAACGGAGGTGGTATAAGTATATATCTTGTACTTGAGTAAAAGTAGAAGTACTCAGATCTTGTACTTGAGTAAAAGTAGAAGTACTCAGGTCTGGTACTAGAGTAAAAGTAGAAGTACTCAGAGTCTTGTTCTTGAGTAAAAGTATAAGTACTCAGGTTCTGATACTTGAGTAAAAGTAGAAGTACTCAGGTCTGGTACTTGAGTAAAAGTAGAGTACTCAGGTCTTGTACTTGAGTAAAAGTAGAAGTACTCAGATATTGCACTTGATAGAAGTACTCAGATCTTGTACTTGAGTAAAAGTAGAAGTACT